AAGCAGAATAATAAAATTACTTTAACAATTATGAGAAAATATGCTAGGAAAACTGTATGAATTATTTAGTAAGAACCTTGAATTACTATTAACGAGACATGCCTCAAAATCTTAAATTTTATTGTACCTCCATAGTATTTTTCTTAAATTTCTTAACCAAAAAACCTTTGAGATTCTTCCTTGACCCTAATTCCTTAGCAGTCAAGGAAGGACATCAAGTAATAGTTATGACAAGGTTTTCTTTCAATCATTATAGGATATCCCTATTCTTAGGCAATATTTACTGTAATGTATTATACAAAACAATAGATTGGTTTTTTAGGCCAACTCTCTAATCATAAATCGTTCCCAATTTGTACGATCGAAAAAGTTTTAAATAATTTGCATAACAAAAGATTAAGGTAAGAAAGAAAAATCTCATTGAACAATTCAAAAGATGTTCATTACATAACAATTCAGGGACACCTCCTAGCAATGGGGGGTTTAGTTATTCATCATATTAAAAGAAAGCAAAATACAAAATAGTGACATTACAAGAATTGGTGATAAAAGTTGATCTTCAATTTCTTCCGATCATGAAAATCTCCCTATTTTCTAATTCTTCAGAGCTCTCCTCTTTCTTTCGTAATTTTTTTACGATCCAAAAAAGTTCCCTTTTTCTTCCAAAAATTAGGTCTTAATAGTATCATATCATTCCTCTTCATGTACAATGTCCAAACTATCCTTAATGAAGTAACACAGGAAATACTTCAAAAAAATCATAAATATGCTTGCGCTTCCCAACACGGACCGTGTCAGGTGACACGGGCACCCGTGTTGGCCCACTGGTCTTGATACCTAAGTTGGCAGCTAAAGGCATGCTGACACGGGTTGTGTCAGGTGACACAGGCACCCGTGTCATCCCACTGGTTGCACGTTTTAGCTTCTCTCTTCTTCCCATCTTGACACGGGCCGTGTCAGATAAAACGGGCACCTGTGTCAGGCCTCTGACCTTGAGAAAAATCTTCCTGAACTTAGCCGACTTCACACCCATTCTTCTGATCATTCACATGAACCTGAAATCACCAAAAATACCGGACCAAGACTTCAAAAGTATTTTATTTATCACAAATTTAAACTAAAACAATGTAAGGAAACGAAATGCGAGAACTTAATTATTTAAAGGAAAACAAAAAAGAAACAACCCAAAGTGTTATCGATTAAACGAAATTCTTGCCGAATAACTGACGAAAACTAAGTAGAATAGGTGACCGATCAATGCCCAAGTTTCTCTATGTTATTTTTCAAATTATCCAACATTTCAATTTATTTTCCAATCTATCTATGTTTCAAAAAAAATTGCATATAAGGGGGGAGTCGTTGGCTTTGGAGTCATCCTTATAATTACAAGGGGGCGTCATCCCTTATGGAGTCACCCTTAAAAGTTACAAGGGGGCGCCATCTCTTATGGAGTCACCTTTAAATGATTAGGAGGAGGCGTCATCCCCTTTGGAGCCTCCCTTATTTTGTTATAATTTATTTAATTATTAATAAATCATATATTATATATGTTTATAATATTTATTATTATTTTATTTAAAAAGTTTCTTATATAAATAGATAAGGCTTGTATATTCTTTCACACTTAAATTACTATTGTTTCTTACAAATTTAGCAGAGTGAATCATGTATCTTAGAAGATATGGGCATGTCATTTTCTCAAGAACCAAGCCTCCGGTAAGGATGTTGTTTTGGAACATCCAAAGTTTAGAGCAACTACGAAGAAATTTGAATCGCTGGTTAGAAGGAGACATTACAGATGGTAAAAGAATTAGAAGTATTGAAAGACTTGTTTCGTACTTCTCGATTGCAGATAGAAATATACGGCGTGAGTGGGCACGAATTAAATATGACAATGAAGTTAGGTCTATGATGTTTGGAACTGATGATATTACTTTGATTGTTGTTATATCGTAGTTTATATTGTAATAATCCTTATATTTTTAATGATTTGTGTTGTTGCTTTAGAAGTATTTCAATTTGTTTTATGGTAAACAAAAGTTGCTATAAATATTAAATTCCAAGGTTACACATTTTTTAATGACCAAAGTAAATCTATCTAGAACTTGTTCCAACATTTGGACAATGTTTCCTTGTATGCCCAGGAAGACGATATATTCCACACAATCTTTTCATTTTCTTAGTTGTATCCATTTCAGTTCTAATTCGTGTGCTTTTGGGGCGGCCCTTTTTGTTTCTTCTCGTATTTTCGTTGTGGTAAATTGTGTCTCCATGATAGGTTGGCCAATAGTCCTCACTAGCTACCACTGGAAAACTGTTATTATAGATACCGAATAAGTTCACGACCTTGTAAACTTCTGATAGTTGCAAGAATGGATTCTGACGAACACTGGAACATGCGGCAATAACATGTGAACAAGGCATGCAGAAGGTTTGAAACTTTTCGCAGTCGCACCAATTTTTATGAATTTCTACCCTGTAGTGTCTCATTGGCCGACCCTCATTGTGATTCTTTGTCTCGTCAACAATGAAGTTGTAATCGTGCCGATCAAATGCTCTAACTCGATGTGAGTCCGCCTTAACAATTTCATCCTTCATATATTTCATACATGTTTCGTTGAATATTTGCCCTGATTCCAAAACAGCGCTCCATTTTTTTCCTCTTGCTGCAAAAGGTGACCCCAATCTATAATAGGTTGCTCTTACCAACGCAATGATGGGGAGGTTTCTAGTTCCCTTAAATACGCTGTTTAGGGATTCCACAAGGTTTGTGGTCATGTGACCCCATCGGCATCCTCCATCAAAATCCCTTGTCCATTTCTAAAATAAATGTATTAGAATTAAATATTATCAAATCTTACAAGGGACGCGCCATAGGGTATGAAGTCCCTTCATTAAATTTCAAGGGAGGCGCCATAGGGTATGAATTATGACAATTTTCCCATTACAGTATCACCCAGTACCGAAATCTTCTGGATCATTTGGGTCAAGATGATGTACCGTCACTGACCTACCTATTTGGAATAGAGTCATATTAAATATTATTTTAAAATCCTAAATATTATTTTTTTCTCCTAGAGTTTATTTGGCGGCCATATCTTGGTCTAGAAGCCATTCATGAAGTTAACGAACACGACTCTGCAGTGTGGAGTGCAAAGGTGTTGATTATCAACTTCACCGCCGTGGAAATGCACAACAATGATCGTGTCAAGCTTCAGTTTGGAATGCTACAAGATATTCCATGTCCACCAAAATGCATCCCCGAGAAGTATCACACAAGTAAAGTCTCCGACCAATGGGACTATTCTTCATGGACCAACAACTTTGTAAAACATGAGTGTCGTGAATGGAAGTATCGCCACCATTTTATTTTGTTTGATACTGTGTTGTCATACGAGAGAAAATCGTCTAATCCAATACATGAATTGGTATAGGTCGATATCCATTGGTTTCATTTCTCATCCTAGATATCTTGTTGATCTACGCCAACAAGCATCATCATCAAGAATCCAACAGCCGACCCAACCCCATTTCCAACAGCCAACCCAACCCCCACTCACACAACCACAACTCCATGAACATACCCCTTACCAATCCACCCCATTCACACAAAGTTATTCTCAGTCTCAATACCAACAATATCCGCCACCATACCAAACATACTCCTATGATACTACAAACCAATTTAACACGGAGTATCAAACACTCAATCAACCCTTACCCACCCAAACATTTACACTGATGTCACCTTACGACCAGGTAGGCTATCGTCCTGACATTGCCTCATCGAGCCAACCACCCTAACAAAATTATGCAGGCATGGGCAACCCCATTAATTTGGACGACTTTGCGGATATCGACTCATCTTCATGGGCCCAAATGATCCAATTTCTTGAAGACGACCCATTGGACCCGATGCCACCACAAAGACCACCAAGAAACCTACGTAGATGATACGGTACAGGCGAACATTTACCTCGACCTAGTCGTAGAAATTAGTGTATCATATTTCTCTTATGTACTCATTTGTTATTAAATGAAATTGTTAATTATTATTTAATATTTTATTTATTAAATATAATTTAATTATTAATTATTAATTAATTATTATTTTTAATATATTATTTATTAAATATTAAATATTATTTAATAATTATTATTTAATATATTATTTATTAAATATTATTTAAAAATAATCATTTAAATGTGACTCCATAGGAGATGACGCCTCTTTGTAATTTTTAAGGATGACTCCATAGAAAATGGCGTTCCCTTATAATTACAAGGGTGACTCCAAAGCCAACGACGCCTTCCTTATACGCGATTTTTATTTTATTTTTAAAACATGAGGAGATTAAAAAATAAATTGAAATGTTGGTAATTTGAAAAATACCGGGTAAAAAATTCCCTCTTAGTTTCCTCTTATTTTCTCATATTTTTTTATCAATTAAATCTTTCTTTTAATTTATTTCCTTTGACTTTCTTTCTCCCAAATGCAGCGAAAGTCACAAAAGGGAGCGTGTCAGTTGGGCACTTGTTTTTCCTATATACCATTTTTTTATACATAAAGTTGTTTGTGTCATTTATTAAATCGTTCTTTCCTCTTAGTTTCACATCACTTTCTAACAAATTTCAATCATTCTTTAACATTCTTTCTTTTACGATTTCCTTTCACTTTTTCTTTCTCCCAAATAAAGCGAAAGTGCCGAACAGAAGTGATACAATTTACTTAAAGTTAGTATAAGGGAGCGTGTCAGTTGGGCACTGGTTGAAATTGGAAGAAAGCCATTCTCTGAAACTATTCTTCATACAATTGCATTTCCTCTTAAACTTTTCTTCATACAATTGCATTTCTCTCTGAAACTATTCTTCATACAATTGCATTTCCTCTGAAACTTTTCTTCATACAATTGCATTTCTCTCTGAAACTATTCTTCATACAATTGCGTTTTGTTGTGATTTCTGTGAAGCTATTCTTCATCTTACAAGTAAATCAACATATGGCGGCGGTTATTGTGGGAGAAACACTCGTCTCAGCTTCTATGGAGGCGTTGTTACAAAAGCTTATTTCCACTGATTTCCCGGATACAGAGGTTGACCTTTCATTGTTGATAAAGCTGAAGAAAACACTGGCGAGGGTTCAACCTTTACTTCATTATTATTTCCAGGACACCAAATGGCTGGATTCGCTGATAGATCTTGCCTATCAAGTTGACACACTGTTTCACCAAATCAACACTAAGGAAGCTCCGGATCAAACCCTAACTCTTGCTACTAAGGTGCGAAACATGTTTTCCTCTCCTTTCAAACACTTTCATGAGGTCATTCATTCTAAAATTCTAGATCTAACTGAAAGATTAAAACCTTTAATTTTGAGAGGAGAACGAGATGGATTGGAGTTTTCTAATCGCACCCATGTTTGGGATGGAGCACCTACGAATTCTGTTTTGGAGCATGATTCTTCTATTTATGGAAGAGACGCGGATATTCAGAAACTTAAACATCTTTTGTTGTCTACTGATAGTGATGGTGATAGTAAAATAAGAGTGATTTCTATTGTTGGTATGGGAGGGATTGGTAAAACATTCCTTGCTAAACACCTTTACAATGATCCACAAGTAAAGGACAAATTCGAGTTAAAAGTATGGGCATATATCTCAAAAGATTTCGATGCTGTTAGAGTTTTTGAAACCATTCTTAAATCTATCACTTCACAATCAATTAGTAATGGAAACCTGAGTTCTCAAATTCTTAAATCTCACATTGCAAAAGGAGAATACACCATTTACCAGAATCTTCTATTAGTGTCATTGCAACAAATTTCAAATACTTCCAAATTTTTGCTCGTGCTGGATGATGTGTGGGATACAAATTCTATTAATTGGATCAGTTTGATGGATACCTTTAATGCTGGGGAAATGGGAAGTAAAATCATCATCACAACACGCGATGAAACAGTTGCAAGATCCATGCAAATGATTCTCTCTGTCCACTATTTGAGGCCTCTACAAAATGAAGATCTCTGGTATTTACTTGTCAGATATGCATTTGGACCATGTAATGACCAACACGTATCCTATCTAGAAGAAATTGGTAGGAAAATTGCAAAAAAATGTGATGGGTTACCATTAGCTGCAGTAGCACTTGGGGCTGTTCTTTACGGCAAATTGTTTTCAAATGACTGGAATTCTGTGCTAAAAAGTAACATTTGGGAATCGACAATTCCTGAGGTGCATGCTGCTTTAAAATCAAGCCCATTATCTTTCGCCTCCTATAAAACGATGCTTTGCATATTGCTCTATTTTTCCAAAGAAGTCCATCTTAGAAAAAGAAATGGTTGTTCAGTTGTGGATTGCAGAAGACTTGGTAGGCTCGTTCACAGGTCAGGAAAGATGGAAAGTTGGAGAAGAATACTTTGATGTACTCGTGTCAAAATCATTGATACAACGGCGGTCTACTGAGAACAAGGAAGAAAACTTTGAAATGCATAACCTTGTCCACGACTTAGCTACGATGGCTTCATCTCCATATTGTATCAGGTTGGGCGAACATTACCTACATGTAATGGTACAAAATTTGTCATACAATCGAGGGCTATATGACTCATTTGATAAATTTAATAAGTTGTATGGATTAAAATATCTACGTACCTTCCTAGCATTGCCATTACAAAAACAATCGCCTCGTTGTTTGCTTTCAAACCAGGTAATCCATGACTTGTTGCCTACAATGAAACAATTACGCCTGTTGTCTTTGTCCAACTACAAGAATATCACCGAGGTTCCCAAGTCTATTGGAGATTTGTTATACCTGCAGTACTTAAATCTTTCTCACACTAATATTGAAAGGCTGCCGTCTGAAACATGCAACCTTTACAATCTGCAGTTCCTGTTGTTAGGAGGTTGTAAAAGGCTCACTGAATTGCCTGAGGACATGGGAAAATTGGTAAATCTTCACCACCTTGACGTTAGTGACACTTCTTTGAAGAAGATGCCCGTACAAATAGCCAAACTAGAAAATCTACACACTTTGTCCGACTTTGTTGTCAGCAAACATAATGATGGATTAAAGGTTGCAGATTTGGGAAAATTTCCTAACCTACATGGAAAACTTTCCATCTCACAACTACAAAATGTTAATGACCCCTTTGAAGTAGATCAAGCCAATACAAAGATGAAAGAACATATAAAAGAATTAGCTTTGGAATGGGACTATGGTAGTACTTTTCCAGATTCACAAATAAAAAGTGCAGTACTTGAACATTTACAACCCTCAACAAATTTGGAAAGTCTCACTATCAAAGGTTGTGGTGGAATCAGCTTTCCAAATTGGTTAGGTGATTTTTCATTCAGAAACATGGTGTATTTAAAGATCTCGAATTGTCATGATTGTTTATGGCTTCCACCCCTTGGACAATTAGAAAATCTAAAAGAGCTCTTTATTGAAGGGATGCCATTAGTACAAACAATTGGTACTGAGTTCTATGGAAGTGATAGCTCTTCATTTCAACCGTTTCCCTCCTTAGAGATCCTACACTTTGAGGAAATGCAGGAGTGGGATGAATGGAACTTAACTGGAGGTACGTTTATAAAGTTTCCTAGTCTCAAAACTTTGTCACTAAGGAAGTGCCCGAAACTGATAGTAGGAAACATAGTTGACAAATTTCCTTCCTTAACTGAACTTGAGTTAAGAGAATGTCCTTTACTGGTTCAATCAATGCATTTATCTGATCATGTATTCCAGCAACTGATCTTCCCTTTGAGTTCTCTTCAACAATTGACCATAGACGGCATTCCATCTTCAATGTCTTTTCCAGAAGACGGTCTACCAAAAACCTTGAAATTTCTCATAATCAATAATTGTGAAAATCTAGAGTTCCTTGCTCATGAATACTTGTCCAATTACACATCGCTTGAGGAGCTGAAAATATCTTATAGCTGCAATTCAATGACATCATTTACGTTGGGTGCTCTCCCTGTCCTCAAGAGACTGTTTATTGAGGGTTGTAAAAATCTGAAATCAATATTAATTGTAGAAGATGTGTCACTAAAGAGTCTCTCATTTCTTAGAAGCATCAAAATATGGGATTGTACTGAATTGGAGTCATTTCCCCCAGGTGGATTGGCCACTCCAAACCTTGTTTATTTTGCAATATGGAAGTGTGAGAAGCTTCCTTTACTGCCTGAAGCAATGTACAATCTAACTAATCTTCAAGAAATGGAAATTGATAATCTACCAAATCTTCAATCGTTTGTCATAGATGATTTACCTTACGCTTTGCGGGAACTGACTGTTGGCTCTGTTGGAGGGATTATGTGGAATGTTGAGCCAACTTGGGAACATCTCACTTGTCTTTTAGTGTTGCGAATTAACGGTGGTGATGGTACAGTGAACACGCTGATAAGGTCATTGCTACCTGCATCGCTTGTGACATTGTGCATTCATGGTCTTAATGATACAAGCAATCATGGGAAATGGCTTCAACATCTCAATTCTCTCCAAAACCTTGAGATTGTTAACGCTCCCAAACTCAAGTCGTTGCCCAAAGGATTGCCTTCCTCTCTTTCAGTACTAAGTATCACTCGCTGTCCATTATTGGTAGCAACATTGCGGAGGAAGCGAGGGAAAGAGTGGCGTAAGATTGCTCACATTCCTTCCATAATTATCGACGACGAATTGATCACATAAGTTTCATGTCGGTGAGTCTCTGAAGCACTTCTTTTTTGTTTCTTTCTTATTATGTAATCACCATTTAATATTATCAATTTAAATAATAACCTCAAAATACAATATTATAATGCTAACTCATTTTTTAATCATTGCATTAAATTCTATGTCACCCCTACTTCTACCCAATCTTGCTGTTGTTAGAAGCCAAATTCACATGCACTGACTGCAACCAAATCCAGTAAATGTTTTACTGATCAGGAGATGATGAAAAGGAGAAACAACCATTGACCACAAATATGTTAGGTACTCTTTTGTCTATGTGAATTTGTATATATATTTGAATGAGTTGGTTTTAATGCATTGGTTTTATCAAGATTTTGTAACACTAGTTAAATTCATCTTTATTATGTTAGTCTAATGAATATCATTTATGCATTTCCCCATTTTTTTTTATCTAACTGTTTTGACTTAATATTTTTTTCTCATGTTAGTCAATTAGACCTCTTTCCTTGAAAAACGTTTCTTAAGGTGATTAGCCTTATAGCCTTTCTTGTCATGTATGGCAGATGTTAAGAAAGTTATTTGGTTCTAAATTATGTTTTTATTTTTGAGACTTTATGTTTTGTTGTTTACGAGTTCATCAACCAGATTTGGTGGATTTGTCTTTAATTTCATTTTATTTATCTCTCTCCTGTTTGCAGATCGGCCTAGAGCTTCAATCGGGATTGGTGACTTGCAACAAGATGGAAGCAGTGGAATTTAAGGTATAAATTGTACTTGTTTTTTGAGTTTCTTTTGTTTGTTGTTTTCCATCAATAAATCTGGTTTCTTAACATTCACATCAGCATACATGTAACTCTGCTAAATTATTTTTAAAAGTTTCTAACCGGTTATCTTAAAGCTCTAAAGTAGATAAAGCACTGGTATCAATAATAAACTGTAATTGAACCTAAACCAAGTATTGTTTTAAACAGTAAAAGTTAGTTGTTAGTAGTTGATAGAAAGTTAGTAGCTGGGGATCATTACGGTGACTGGTGAACCATTTTGCAGTGCGAAAGTGTAAGAAACTTTTGCACTAGCAGAAGCGGTAAGTGTAAACACTCTAACAAGCGTTCAAAAAATGGAAATCTAAAATCTTCCTACAAGTTTAAAGGCTGTCTGTTATTGTAAGCTAGTTTGCATAAGATTGATCACAAAATTTCTGTCTCCGGGTGACTCAGAGAAATACTTTTTTGTTATTTCAAAGAATTGCATCGGCATACAACAGCACCACATCAAGTTGATTTTTACAACATCAACTAATTGTGTTTTAAGACTATGTTTACTACTACATCCATCAGACTTGTTGGCTTAGTATTTTTGGGTTATTTTTATTCTTTAGCTTGTTTGCAGATCAACCAGCAGCTTCAAGGGTGAGTGTGTGATTGAAACCAAAACGAAAACAGTGGCATCTCAGGTATAAATTTCCTCTTTGATAACTTTTACATTACTCATTTAACATCACATTTTTATGTGACTATTATTTACTCCCATCTCTCTTCTGGTTTTCTTACAGGATTAAGAAAAGGGATTGTTGGAGAAACTACAGTGACCATCAATTATTTGTCAGCGTTGATCTCCAGTGACTGCTTTGCTGCATAGTGCTGGACGCAGTAGATGATCCATACTCATAAAAAACAAAGAGGGGCAGTGTTTTCTTATAGGCTGCATTTTGTTGTGATTTCAAAAGCTATTCCTATTCATTCAAATAAGCAACTTCGGGTGACTATTGTGCCAAAAACACTTTTTCCAGCTTATGTGGAGGTGTTGTTTGAAAAATTATGTTATAATTTTTACAATTAATTATTCATGACTCATGAGTTATATGTGCATATTTTGATTTGAGAGACATGATGCTACTACTTTGTATGTGGAGGATCTACTATTGTTATTTAAAAATCAAATATAGAAAAAATTAGGATCTAGTATTGTTATTTCAAAATCGAATATAGGTGAAAATTTCTTGTGTTGAAATGTCAAAGAAAGGGTACATAAAAACAATACAAGAAGGTGAAACAACAAGACTTTTCATCCTTAAAATGTGAGTGTCCGTTTAGATAAAGGGGTTATTGTTTGAAAATGGTCTATGGAGTTTAGTATTGTGCATGGAGAACACAATCATACGATGACAAAATTCTTTGAAGGTCATAAATATGAATGTCGTCTAAAACCAGATTAGGTGCTACTTGTTTGTATGACAAGTAATATGGTCCTTTCAAAAAATATTCTGATGATGTTAAGAAAGGATGGTTCTGCAACCTCTCTAACAGGTCTGGGCAGATAGTCGCTATATTCAATTAAACTCTTGCAAGCATGGAGAATCTCCTCTTCATGGTATGGATGCTCCTTTTCTGAATGTGTGAAATAAAGGATGAATGTGCAATCACTTTTGTCGAGGATCTCTCTACGAAGGCCTAGATGGATATTCCCCGAACATCATTGGACGAATCTATCTCCAGTGAGCAAATACAAACCTAACATAAAAATAAATACAAATACTCTGTCAAGTTTGACGGTTTATAATAGTTGTCACTTGTCACTACAAATCCAACTACATGCAGCTTAGAAATCTACCGTTTTATCTACTTCAGAACTGTAAGATAACAAGTAAGAAACAAATCATGTAGATAAGAAACTAACAAGATTCTCTGAGGTGGACACAAATTTATTTGAGATTCTTGTTCCAGAAAAGAACATAAAATACCACTAAAATAATTTTGATGGTCCACAATATTACCTATGATTTGATGTAGCATCTATGACAATCTCCTTCTAAATACAAGACGCCTCCTTCTTTTACTCCGAATCTGCAATAAACCCAAAAAGAGACCAGAGTAAATAGTTGTAGCATCCAATTATCTATTTATAATTTATAATTTCAAGTGATCTGTTAAAATCTGATTGCTTAATTGGGACAGGTTAATCAATGAATTTTGTAGATTAACATCATGTTACTAGAATTAGGTTTCAGAAATTAAATAGAAAGTGATGTTTGTCTTGAATTTGGAAAGATATTTGAACACCTGAGTATTTAACTAGCAGAGAAGCGAAAGATATAATGTTCTTTTTCTAGAACTAAAGACTACAATGTGTTCTGTTTTGTGACGGGAAGAATAAGGAAGTTATATGTCACTTATTAATAAAAGGATCATTCATTTTCATATAAACTGAAGATTTGTACCTCTTTTTCTAAATCCTACAAGATACTTAGAGTAAATAGTAACATGTAAAAACACTCATTAAACTACATCATATAAAGAAATAGAGTACCTAACAAATTCGATGTCGGTTGTTGTTTCTCCTTTTCATCTGTTACACATCAGTAAAACATTTACTGAACATGGTTGCAGGTTGTTCATGCGAATTTGGTTTCTCACAACGGCAAGATTGAAAAGAATCAGAGATGACGCAGAATATAATTCTATATTTAAAAAAAAAAAAGATAGTGTTATAATACTGTTTTGTTGTTATTATTGAAACTAATAATAATTATTGATGATTACATAATAAGACAGAAAAAAAAACGGAAGTATTTCAGAGGCTCACCTAGACATGAAACTTATGTGATCAATTCATCATTGATAATTATGGCAGGAATGTGAGCAACCTTACGCCAGTTGATCCCTCGCTTCTTCCGCAAACTTGCTTCCAGTAATGGACAGCGAGTCACACATAGTACTGAAATAGAGGAAGGAAGTCCATTTTTTGGCAACAACTTGAGTTTGGGAGCGTTAATAATCTCAAGGTTTTGGAGAGAAGTGAGACGTTGAAGCCACAACTCACCGATGTTTGTATCATTAAGACCACAAATGCATAACTTCACAAGTGATACAGGTAGCAGTGTCTTCGACAGCATAGACACCGTATCATCTCCGTTAATCCGCAGCCCCGAAAGACAGGTAAAATGTTCCCATGTTGACCGAGCACCCCAACTAATCCCTCTAACAGAACCAAGAGTCAGTTCTTGTAAACTGCTAGGTAAATCAACTATGAAACAATATCGAAGACTTGGAAGATCATCAATTTCAAGTTCTTGAAGGTTAGTTAGAGTGTGCATTGCTGCTGGTAGTAAAGGAAGCTTGTCACACTTCCACAATGCAAAATAAACGAGGTTTTGAGTGTCCAATATGGGAAATGACTCCAGTACATTACAGTCCCATATTTTGATGCTTCTAAGAAATGAGAGACTCTTTTGAGATGCGCCTTCTGCAATTAATATTGATTTCAGATTTTTACAACCCTCAATAAATAGACTTTTAAGAACGGGGAGAGCACCTAAGGTAAATGATGTCATTGAATTACAGCTATAAGAAATTTTTAATTCCTCAAGCGAAGTGTAACTGGACAAATATTCACAAGGAAGGAACTCTAGATTCTCACAATTATTGATTATGAGAATTTTCAATGTTTTTGGTAGACTGTCAACTGGAAAAGACATCAGCGACGAAAAACCATCTATAGTCAACTGTCTAAGAGAATTTAGAGGGAACATCAATTGCCGGAATACATTATTTGGTGATGGCATTAATTGCACTCGTAGAGCACATTCTCTTAACTCAAGTTCAATTAAGGAAGGAAAATTTTCAGGTATATTTCCTACTATCAGTTTTGGACACTTACTTAGTGACAAAGTTTTTAGACTGGAAAACTTTGTAGCCGTACCACCAGTTAAGTTCCATTCTTCCAACTCATGCATATCTGCAAAGTGTAGAATCTCCAGGGAGGGAAATGGTTGAATTGAAGAGTTATCACTTCCATAGAACTCAGTACCAATTGTATGTACTGATTGCATCCCTTCAATAATGAGTTCTTTCAAATTAACCAACTGTCCAAGGGGTGGAAGCCATAAACAATCATCACAATTCGAGATCTTCAAATACACCATGTTGTTAAATAAAATATCACCCAACCAATTTGGAAAGTTGATTCCACCATAACCTTTGATAGTGAGACTTTTCAAATTTGTTGAGGGTTGCAAA